AAAAGAAATGCATGAGTGAGGTCTGCGTGAAAGGAAATGGTGAGGCAGGCCAAAGCCCTACACGGGCTGTAGCGCCACAGGGATGGGTGGTTGGTCTGAGTGGAAGGAAGTGGTGAGGCAGGCCAAAAGCCCTGCATAGGCTATAGAACCACAGGGGTGGGTGGAAGTTCCGAGTGAAAGGATGTGATGAGGACGGCCAAAGCCCTACATGGGCTGTAGCGCCACAATGCAGGGTGGAAGGTTTGGGTGGAAGGAAGTGGCGAGGCAGGCCGAAGCCCTACATGGGGTGTAGCGCCACAGGGGTGGGTGGAAGTTCCGAGTGAAAGGATGTCATGAGGACAGCCAAAGCACTACATGGGCCGTAGCGCCACAATGCAGGGTGGACGGTTTAAGTGGAAGGAAGTGATGAGGCAGGCCAAAAGCCCTACATGGGCTGTAGCGCTTCAGGGAGGGGTGGACTACAATGTTTACACGACACATTCGTTTTGTTGCTGCGTTTAGTCTTCGTGTTTCTTTTTGCCATATGAGCCTTTATCCTTCCTCGTTTCTTTTCGTCTCATACTTTTGAAACATTAGCAAAAAATATTTTGTAAACAATTATAAATAAAAAAAAAAAATGAAAAAAAAAATATCTATTTAAATTTTTTTTTTTTTTAATTTTTTTTTAAAACACGTCAGGTTTAATCACGTTGATTCAGTGATGATAACTCATTGTCCGTCTTTGTCTGACCGTTTTGGACCATTAAGGTTTCAGGCCATGATTATTTCAGAAATTTTAAAAAAAAAAAATTAAAAAAAAAATATCTTTTTAAATTTTTTTTTTTTTTAATTTTTTTTTAAAACACGTCAGGTCTAATCACGGTGATTCAGTGATGATAACTCATTGTCCGTCTTTGTCTGACCGATATGGACCATTAAGGTTTCAGGCCATGATTATTTCAGAAATTTTCCCGGGTGGGGGTGGGGGGCACTGCCCCTTCGGTGATATAGCTGAAAGAAACCCTAGTTTCGGGTAAAGAGTAACGGTAAGAAATGGTAAAAAAAAATTGAAGCACTCTGAAACGCTGACAGGACGAAATCTGTGAAGACCTACGAGCCGTCTCATGATCCAAACAGCCCTGGGTTCGGACCCCTTCCACCTGTGCGTGGCGTGACCTTTTTGTGTGTGAATGTCCGGGTCATAAGGCAGGCGTTTGACACCCTGCGTTATTTCAGAGGTTCCCAAAGGTGCCATGTGGACCTCGGCTTCCTAACAGTGATGCAGCGATTTTTTTAATATATTTTTTTTTATTTAACAGTAATATTCTATACATTGGCAGTTGGTGTAAACCAGTACCTCCTAATTTTTTTTAGTGAAAACTGATTCCAGAAGCCCTTAAAATTATTACTGGCTGGTCGCTAAGTTTTTCGATGGTTGTATTAGTTTCTCGAATTTATTTGGCACTTTGTGTTCTAATAGAAACAGACGTTTACTAGAATTAGGGTTTGGACTGTATGTCTCCTGCTATTATAGTATTTTTATGAAGTCAAAAGAGGTTATTAAAATGTTTATTCTCATTTGTACTTTTAAAAAATTGATTTTTGTTTTAATAACTAATCAGCGTGAAAGAAAATTTTTGTTGTCTTCTTAATTTCGCAATGCGTTTGTTAGACATTGGCTAAGGCGTGTTGGGAACACCAAAGGGGGCAGTGGGCTTGCAAAGTTTGGGAAACTCTGCCCCATTCACCCCCCCCCCTTATAGTACAACGATGGGGCAACTGACACACACCTTCAAGCAGGCGCGTTGTTTACCACCGTGCCTCGGGAACATTGGTAAGGCGGAAAATCCAAATTTTAACACCTGATACCCACCTTTTAAAAAAAAAATTTTTAAAAATCTTAATCTTAACACATGATACCCAGTTACCTCAAAGCAGTCGCGTTGTTTTACAGAGCGGAGGTGAGACCGGGGAGGCGTCTTGGTCTTGGGCAAAACAATGGTGGCGGCCCCGGGGGGGGGGGAGAGAATGGCTTGCAACGTTTGGGAACCTCTGCCACATTCTCCCCCCCCCCCGGGGTCAAATGGGGGGA